TGATCATCTAATTCAAAAGTACCCCCCTTACAGGGTACAAGTCAGGCTCCTGCTCAGCATCAACAAAGCCAGGATCAAAGGGATCTGAAGGTGGGTCGTCATCATCATTGAGCTGAAGCAGCTCTGCCTTTTTTAACATCAGGTTTCGACCTGCTATCTCTGTTTTCAACATCACATGGAACCGTAGCGTTAAGAGGTTCAGAATCAGGTGTTTTTAAATCGGTTCCGTCAGTATCCTGTAATTCCATCAGGTCCAGAGCCGGCTCATTGGACAAACTGTCCCTCCAGGAGTCTCATTTAGCACTCGGTCGAAGAGAACGCAGAGCAGCACATAAAATTCGCCAGGTAATGATGTCATCAGGGGAAACATTGTGCTGCTCCTTTTGCGCCTGCTGCAATTTCTGACCGACTTTGTGCCGATCTCGGATCTCACAGGATCCAGTCTCTGGATACCATGGACAATTACGTCCGATCCATAACAGAAGATGAGTCACTTTCTGGCGATTAAGGCGACAGCCTTGCTCTTTAACAATACCATCAGCATTTCATGATGGAATTGCTGAGATTGTGTAGTGTTGTGCCCCATGACTACCCCGGACGCTGTCCCCTCACCTGACATCTTTGCAACTTGAAACGGAGGGGACTGGAAACGTCTTGAAGTACCTCCTGTTCGGCTCACTGGGGGTGCGCTGCACCAAGAGCTTTCAGGCGAGTCCCTTCTTCGGACACCATTCAACAGCACATGAGATGGACACAGCAAACTAGATGCTGAATCAGTTTATTAGAAAAAGAAATCATGCTTTTATGTTCTCAATACACTTTGATCCTATACATTGGCAGATTTATAGTTTTGTTTTTCCACATAACTAAAAATAACTAAAGTCCATCTGGAGATCCTAAAATATTGTTTTGTCTCCAGTTGTCCCTGTTTATCCGTACACACAGCATTCCATCCTCTGGGTCAGAACACGGTCAAAAAATCTCGTCCAAGTTTTCCAGCATGTTTCTATCATGTATTTAGCATAAACGATGTCCACAGGGACCCCCCTGCGTTCCCCCCATGTCAACTCACTCTGGGAGGGTCTTGGAGGGGCACCTGCTACTCAAAAGGCACCCATCTCACCCCAAAAGGTGCTGCGACCCCCCTAAACCTACCCACAGTCCCCTAGGACCACCAAACAAAATCAAAGCCCACCCAGGACCCCAACTAATCCCTTTTTTGAGGGACTTCTCAGGGCACTGGTGGTGCTGGGAGCCCCCTCGGCTGTGAGTGAGGAGCTCTCGGGCGAGCAAAGGGTGGGAAGGGGGAGATTGGTAGGAAAAGGAGGGTCAGCAGGGACAAAAGCTGTGGTGGGACCCCAAACTGAGTGGGAGAGGAGTGGGACTCCCCAAAAGTGGAGGGGGGGGGCACTGAGGTTTGGGGGATGATAAAAAATGGGTGGAAGAGGTCAGAAGAGAGGGGAAAGGGCAGGGTGGGATCCTCCAATTGAGCATGAGTAGGCTGAGGATGGGGGTGATGATGTGAAAAGGGTCAGAGAGAGAGGAAAAAAAGTGGGAGTTGGGACTGCAAAACTGTTTGAGGGCGCTGGGGATTGAGGGGACAATGGAAAAGTGGGAGGAACTGGGAGAAGGGTGGAAAAGGGGAGGTGGTCTGGCGGGACAGACAGTCCCATGGGGGTCTTTGGGCACCACGTTATGGGAAAGGGGGTTGGCCCCCTGAGCTCCCAACTTACTGTGAGGTGCTGGGAGTTGCTGGATCCAATCCCAGCCTTGGATTATGCCAACAGTTTCAGTTTAGAGGAATTACAGAGGTGTGATTAACCACTTTTGTCCCCCAGGTTTTAATGATGGCAAAACAGATCTACCGATAGAAATGAATTATTTAGGGATACAAATGATCAGACAAAAGATCTTCATCAGAATTATTTACTGCACAATAGAAACACTAAAACTACCAGGAGTACAGGATAAGATAGGACAGTGCTCTACACTAAAGCAATTGTTGAAGCAATTCTACTCAAGCTGGCAAAAAGCAATAATTATTAAGTAGAGATGGATGGAACTTCCCCAGACCAAGGCTGGTGGGGAGATCTCTGCTCTCAACCTCCAGGATTGACCTTGGGGGGTCCCCAGCCAAGGCAGGAATCTCCACACACCCCCCAAGAAGGGTTCTGTTGGAAGAACCTGCCCCTGTGAAAGGGGACTGGCCTTTTGTGGTAGAAAGGGATGGACTGACAGTCACTGGACTCCAGGGGTTGCCTCACCATCAGGGGCTTCATTCGGGGTAGAAGCAGTGGCCGAAACTCTCCCCGCAATCGGGGCACTGGTAGGGCTTCCCTTATCAGTGAGTCCGTTGGTGTGAGGTCAAGGCAGAGCTGTGGGTGAAGCTCTTCACACACTCCCCACACTTGTAGGGCCTCTGCCCGGTGTGGATGCGCCGGTGCCTGATGAGGTGGCAGTTGAGCTTGAAGCCCTTCCCGCAGTCGGTGCAGCGGAAGGGCCTCTCATCCATGTGCATCCGCTGGTGCAGGAAGAGATGTGAGCTGGTCTGAAACCTCTTCCCACATTCCAAGCACTTGTAGGGCCGTTCCCCAGTGTGGATGCGACGGTGGGTGCAGAGGGTGGAGCTGTCCCTGAAGCTCTTCCCACATTCCCCACATGTGTAAGGCCATTCTCCAGTGTGGATGTGCTGGTGCTTGAGGAGGTCGGTGCTCTTCCTGAAGCTCTTCCCACATTCCAAGCACCTGAAGGGCTTCTGCCTGCTGGGAGGCTGCTCAGGGACCACCAGGTCAGAGCTCCATCTGCCTTCCCGGCACAGGCTGGGTCTTTCCTCCTCAGAGCACCCTGGGCTGGCTTTGGAGCCCCTCCTGCGGGGGCATCTCCGGCCCTTTTCCTCCCCGCTGCCTTCCTGCACCGTGGAGCCCTTCAAAACGGCCTCTCCCACCAGGCTCTGCCAGGGGGATTTGTCCTCCGGGCTCTCCGTCCTCAGCTCGGGGCCTGGGGCAGGAAGCAAGAAGGACAGGGAGGGGATTTGCCTCCGGACCACAGGGAAGGCCAAGGACATCCCCCCAACTCCGGCCCCGGCAGGACGGCGGCGGCAGCGGGGTTGTCCTGCAGCCGGGGGCCATGCTCGGCTGCCAGAGGCAGCACAACACCCGCCCAAAGGGCCACTGACTTCCTCCTCACCTGCCTGGGGGGCCCAAGGCATCTTCCTCTTCCTCGCAGCCTCCTCCTCCATCCGCCCAAGCTTTGGGAAGGACAAATCCTGTGGGGGGGAGAAAACAAGGGCTGAGTGTGTTGGCTTGGGGGTTCCTCCTGCCCAAGTCCATCTCTAGAACTCACCAGGCATCCTGTTACCATAAAATCCTCCTAAACACCAAGATTCAGCCCAGAAATTCGAAACCAACAAGATTCAGGTAAAAAACCTCTTAGAAAAAGCAAGATGAGCCTCCTCACAAAGTACAAAAAGTTAAATTTCAGCCAAAAAGAACTCCAAATATGAACATTCAACTCAAAGAAAAGTGTTTAATTGGGAGGATGAGGAGAGCGATGTTACTTCATGAGCACTTGATTGAGTTGCAATATATTAATCAAAACCTGTATTAATGTAATGTCACTTCAAACTCTCCAGGGCTGTTACTCGAGGTTCTCTGGCCCCCTGCCAGTCCAAGGCTGTTTATCCTAACCACCAAATCAAGTGTGCCAAACGCCCTGGTTGGTCAGTGCCGGCTGGGGGAGGGGGCACTCAGTGAGGGGATGAGAAAACTGCACCCAGGGCTGGGCTGAAAGAGGCCTCAGCACCACTTTGATGGCCCAGGGGCAGCATCTGGCTTCTCCCAAACAGAGAGATGGCACTTGTTCCTCTGCAGGGAGTCAAGGGCAGCAGGGTGACTCCTGCTGCATGGATGGAATGGCAGAAGATCCCTTCGGTCCCCAAGATGGATCAGAAAACATGAATATACAAAAAAGGGCTCCCCAAAGATTTCAGGGGGAGTGTCCTGGAGGGAGGGCACAGTGTCACCCCACCAGGGCGGGGCTGGCAAGTGGGAGGCTGCTCCAGGGCTCTGCAAGAGGCCTCGTGCTCTGCTCGGCCCCAGCACTGGCTGGTCCCAACACCCCCGGCTGCCCCCGGCCCTGGGCAATGCTGCTGCCACAGGCTGTGCCCTCACTGTGGCCCTGCAATGGCCCTGCCTGTCCCTCACCCATGGCCCTGCCCGTGGCCCTGTCCCTTGGCTCTCTCTCTCTGGCAGCTGAGTGTGGGGCACACGGGCTGGGGGTCCCTCCCAAGGCCCCCGGGCAGCCGGCGTTGGCTGGGGGGATGTGAGGGCTGGGCCTGCTCAGCACAGCCCCGGCCTCAGGTCCAGTGCCTCTTTCCTGCCCCACACAAGAGCTTCCTGGCCCCCCCCAGTGCTCCCCTGCTGCTGCCTCTGCTCCTGGCCCTGCCTTTGCTGCTCCCTTGGCTGGGGCAGTGGCTGCAGGGGGGGATGGCAGCAGCTTCAGCTCCACGGCAGTTCCTGGGGGGAGCTCAGCCCGGGGAAGACAGGCAGGGACCTGATGGGGATGGACAGGGGCCCAGCAGGGACAGCCAAGGCAGGCAGGGGAAGGCACAGGGACAACCTGGCCCCCCACACTGCCAGGGCTGTCTCTGCTCCTCCTTGCAGGCTCCGTGGCCAGGCACAGTTTGTGTTCATCAGCAGCACCTCCACCTTGCACTTATTCTCAGGCTCACCTCAGGGACAGCTCTGGGCTCACCTCCGCGCCACTTCTCAGCCTCACCTCAGGGCCTGGGCTCAAGGACAGGAACCTGCAGGGAGGGGACATCATGTGCAAGCTGAGGGCTGCCTGATTGCACTGGCCTCTGGGCTTCTTTCTTCTTCTACAACCATCCCAGAACTTATCCTGCTTTTCTAACACCACACATTTACAGACTAACCTTGCAGATATATATGGACAGACATCTCTATCACCCTGGGGATAGAGCCTCAAGCACGTGCTGCCATAGGAATGGGAATCAGAGAATCACAGAATCAACCGGGTTGAAAAAGACCTCCGAGATCATCAAGTCCAACCCTTGATCCAACCCCGCCGTGCTTCCCAGACCATGGCACTGATGCCAGATCCACTCTCACCTTCAACACCTCCAGGGACGCTGACTCCACCCCCTCCCTGCCCAGCCCATTCCAATGCCTGATTACTCTCTCAGCAAAAAATTGCTTCCCAATATCCAATCTAAACCTCCCCTGGCACAGCTCAAGACCCAGCCCTCTTGTCCTACTGCTGCTTCCTGGCACAAGAGCCCCACCCCCACCTGGCTACAACCTCCTGCCAGGGACTTGCAGAGAGTCAGGAGGTCTCCCCTGAGCCTCCTCTTCTCCAGCCTCAACAACCCCAGCTCCCTCAGCCTCTCCTCACACCACTTGTGCTCCACTCCCTTCCCCAGCCTCGCTGCTCTTCTCTGCACCTGCTCCAGCCCCTCCATGGCCTTCCTCAACTCAGGGGCCCAGAGCTGGACACAGCACTCCAGGGGTGGCCTCACCAGCACTCAGTCCAGCCCAACAATCACTTCCCTGCTCCTGCTGACACACTCTTCCTCAGCCAGGTCCCTCTGCAGAGCCCTCCTGCCTTCCAGCACATCAACACACCCCCCAGCTTGGTGTCACCTGCACATTTGCTGATGAAATGCCTGGTTTTGCAGCAGCTGGAGATGCTCAAGGGGCAGCAGGACCAACTCAGGGGCCTGGGGGGCTTTGGGGTCCAGGAGGGTCCTGGGGGAGCTGGGGAGGGGCTTGGGGGATTGGGGGTACAAACAGGACAAATCAGGACAGACCAGCACCTCCTCACTGCTCCCCAGATCTCTCCTGGAGCTGGGCCACATTGTTGTGGGACACCTGAGCCCCCCCAGTGCCCTCCCAGTACAGCCCAGTGCCCCCAGTACAGCCCACTGTGTTCCTGTCCCAGGGTGCTGGGTGATCCCTCTTGGGGGGTTGGAAGGGATTTGAGGGGGGGCTGAGGGAGATTGGGGGGATCTGGGGAGTTTGTATGAGGATTTGGGGGGTTTTGGGTGCATTTGGGGGAGTTAAATGGGTCTTGGGGGCATTAGGGAGTCAAAGATATCTGGAGAGAGACGAGATTAAAGGAAAAAAACGGGAGTTGGGGGACATTTGCGGGGGGTTTCTGAGGCCTAGAGGGGGAGAGGAGGGACTTCCCTATGAGCAGGTGAGTCCTGAGACCCCCCTGGTGTCACCAAGACCCATTTAACTCCCCCAAATGCACCCAAAACCCCCCAAATCCTCATACAAACTCCCCAGATCTCTCCTGGAGCTGGGCCACATTGTTGTGGGACACCTGAGCCCCCCCAGTGCCCTCCCAGTACAGCCCAGTGCCCCCAGTACAGCCCACTGTGTTCCTGTCCCAGGGTGCTGGGTGATCCCTCTTGGGGGGTTGGAAGGGATTTGAGGGGGGGCTGAGGGAGATTGGGGGGATCTGGGGAGTTTGTATGAGGATTTGGGGGGTTTTGGGTGCATTTGGGGGAGTTAAATGGGTCTTGGGGGCATTAGGGAGTCAAAGATATCTGGAGAGAGACGAGATTAAAGGAAAAAAACGGGAGTTGGGGGACATTTGCGGGGGGTTTCTGAGGCCTAGAGGGGGAGAGGAGGGACTTCCCTATGAGCAGGTGAGTCCTGAGACCCCCCTGGTGTCACCAAGACCCTTTTGGTGTCTCCAGTTCCCCCCTTGACACTCCCAATTCCACTGTCCAGAAAGCCCTCCCCACTGTCCCCACAGTCCTCAAATCCCATCCCTGATGTCCCCAACCCTCCATCTCACCCCAGGAGCCTCCCCTGGACCCTCTGACCACAAAAACAATCCACCCCCATGCTCACAGAAAGGCCAAGGGCATCTGGGGACACACTGGGGACAGTTGGGGGGCTTTGGGGGGCACTGAGAGATTACTGGGACACACTGGGGGGAACCAGGGGGCACTGGGAGGGGCTGGGGGTTTACTGAGGGACACTGAGAGGGCACTAGGAGAGACTGGGGGGGGAAACTGGGGCACACTGGGGGTCACTGGCAGAGAAATGGGGAGTTACTGGGGGATTACCAGGACACACTGGGGGACACTGGGAGGTTACTGGGCCATACTGGGGGTTACTGGGTGCTCATTGGGATACATTGGGGGGTCACTGGGCTATACTGGGGGCACTGGGATCCCCTTACCCGGATGTGGTACATCTCCCCCCCTGGATTTTGGGGGGCATCACTAGGACCCCTCCCCTGGGGGCTGGAGAACCCCTGCACCCCACTGCTGGGCTTTAGGGGGCCCCACAAAATCCCCTCAAAACCCCTGAAATTCCCCCCTCGACCCATTGAAACCTCCTCAAGGTCCCCTCAAATCCCCTCAGAGACCTCATCCCTCCCCAGGACTCCCTAAACCCTCTCAGTGACCCGCAAAACCCATCTGGGACCCCCCAAGCCCATTCAGGGACCCCCCAATCCCCCTCGGGGACCCTCAAAACTGTCTGAGACCTCTTAAACCCCCTAGAGACCCCAAAACTGCCAAAAAGGTCCCCGCAAAGCCCCCCAGGACTCCCAAACCTCCTCACAGATCCTCAAAGCCCACCTGGGATCCCTCAAATCTCCTCAGAAACCAAAACCCCCTCGGAGACTCCCAAACCCCTTCAGGGACCTTCAACCTCCCCCCTGAGTCCCCTCAGGACACCGAACCCCCTCAGGGACCCCTCAAAACGTCGCCGGGAACCCCTGAACTCCTCCGCTAAACCCTCCCGAGCCCTCCAGCCTTTCCACCCACAGCCGCGCTCCCCGCAGCCCCCGAGGGGATCCCCAGAACCCCGCTCTCGCCGCCCCCCCGCCAACACTCACAGCGAACTGCAGCGGCCGCCGCCTTCTCCTCACTCGCTCCACGCGGCCAACTTGGCGCCCGCTCTGCCCGCCCTCTGCCTTTAGAGACCCGCGCCGCAGCCAATCAGCGCGCGGCCACGGCCCCTGCCCGCCTTCCGCACCGCCCCCACCCCGCGCGGTGCATTGTGGGAGTTGAAGTCCTTGCGGCGGGGGAGGATAGGAAGTTTTTGGGTTTTAGTTTTTCTGTCTTTTTTCATTTTCTCTTTTTTTATTTTCTTTCTTCTTTCTTTCTCCTTTATTTATTCTCCTTTTTTCTTTTTTCCTTCTCTGTTTTCTGTTTTTTCTTTGTTTTTCCTTTTTGGTTTTTTTGGTCATTTTTTTCCTGTTTTTCTTTCTTTTTTTTCTCTAAAGTCTAGAAAACTTTAGGAATAAATTTAGAAGCCAACACAGTGCTATAAATGTAGGATGTAAATCTAAGGGAGTAGTAATGAAATCTCTGGCAAAACTTCACTCATACTGTGCTCAGTAATCCTTACCACATCATAAAAATCGGGTTTCTTAAACATGTGAGAAGACAGTTGATCCTAGGAATAAAAGTTATGAGCTGTGAAGACAAGAACAGAAAAGCCCTCCTTCTGAAACACTCACAGAAAAGGCAAATAACTGAGACACAAATATGAAGTGATGAAAGGCAGTTCACACAAAGAAATATTTTAGAGATATGCAGAAGAATTACAAGCATTGCCCCATTTTGACTAATTCTTCCTTATATTATTTGCTATGATAAATAGCACAACCGTCTGCTTAAAACTGGGAGAATTTTACTCATTAATGCACTACAGACTACAGAGAGTTTGTGTACCAGTTCTGCTTCTCACTTGTTCAGTAAAGCTGAGCAGAACTTCTGATTATACAGAAATCCCAAGTGGCTGAAGACTGGGCTAGAAGGGAGCAAATCACCCTGAAAAACAAAGTCCCAGTGCTCCCTGTGAGTGCAGAAGAGCAGGGACAGTATCAGTAAAGACATCTTCTGAGAGGAACACAAACTGAACTGAAATCCAGTTTTCTTTTTTCTTCTATAAAAGTTATTTGGGAGACAGTTGTGACAGTTTTTCTGCCTTTATGTGTGTGCACATATAACAAAAATATAGTGTGTGTGAGAGAGTACTTCTCTCATATGCCCTGCTTCATTTATTATTCATTTCACTACAGATCACAGTCCATGGACAATAGTATGGAAGATTTCTTTAATAACTCTCACTGCTAATTTAATTCTACTTAAACACACATATCCTAGGGAATGCCACGTGCTTTTCAGCAGGATATTACGTGTAAATCAGGATAAAATGTTTTCAGAGCATTAACTAGAAGGAAGCATGAACTAAAACCTATTTAACCAATGAGGTATTGCTTTTAAACTACCACAAAGCCATAAAAAAGATAATTTCAAAGCTCTAAGTTTTCTAATTGTAATCAACAACAATCTAATGATAAAAGAAAGTCTATCTGAATGGCTGTCATAAACCTGTGCACAGCCTTGCTTATCTTTAAAGATCCTTTACTTTGTCATTTGGTAACATTTTCACTACCAAATTTTGCTATGCAAAATTAAAATGTGGCACTGGAATTAGAAATAACATTGTCTTACTGCTCAGATGAGCAGTGAAACTCAGATGCAGTTTTATTATTCTATAACAAAGTCTATTTGTTAAGATTAGGTGCAACTTGACAATAAAATTGGAAAAGTCTAAAATGTGCTGGAAATTGACCTTTTCCTTATTTCTCAGTAATCTGTCACACAAACTCTGTACTGGATTTACTCACTTTCCTGAAGTCCTTCTGCTGGTTTGGACCCAAACCTAATCCATCTGTTTGCAAGAAAACTGTTTCAAGTTTAACTGTATTTTGAGCTCTAAGGTTTATGGGATTTTTCTTTTCTTTTTGTTTTTCTTTTCCTTGAAAATGGTATGGATGTCACTCTACACTATTCTTACTCAACAGCTACACCTACACATCTCTCAAGATCAAGAGTTGTTGGGCTCTCACATTAGAATTCAAAACTGGCTTAAATTAATTCTTTCCATTGGCATTTATGCAACCAAAGCTAATTCTCCAGGATGGCCATGAAAAGGGAATGCAAAAGGGACACACCTACACCAGCTAGAAATGTAAAAGCTTTCTTGACAAAAAAACCAACAACCAACCAAAACAAAACCACAGACGAAAACACTCACAGTGTTCAGGGTGTATTTGCTCAATTCTCTCATTTCCAATTGTTATGAAGATAACAGCCAGAGGGGTTTAGAGCCTCAGTCACTGTAAATCAGCACATTGGAACTGACTTTCTTACAACTAAAGAACTTGGTGGGTTCTGGCTCAATATATTGCCAGTGGTTTCTATTACTATTGTTAAACAAATTCTCTAAGTCTATCCAGTAAGTGCTCCTTGTCAGCACTTCTAACTTTTTTTCTAAAACAGGTTCCAAAATGCAGGTGAGTCTCTCTGTATTCTTGGACTAGATCAGCTGTCCCTGATAGAAGACACCACCATTCACAGGAAAAAATGAAGTACATAATACACCTCTCACCTTCATAATATGTTAACTATACAACTGTTTTCATTCTCTAGTTCCTAAAGTTAACAATGTGACAAATTAGAAGCAAAAAAGGACAATTTTGGTAGTAAGAACTACCAATGCAAACCTATTCTTCTGAACTTCCAGTCCTCAGCTGAGATAATAAATCACATTTTGTTCAACAGAGTGTTTGTGGAATTGTTACATGTACAGAAAAAGCACTTTTTCATACTCACCTCGTGAAGGCCTGACAAGTGTTACAGCATCGCTCATCAAGCTGCCCTGGCTGTTGGATGCATTCACTTGCACTGTGTAGTTAGAAAATGGAATCAGGCCTTTAATGGTATCCACACGTTGAATTTCCTGCTGCTGCAGAACATTTGAGTATCATTTACCACAGAATAATGAGCGTTGTCTGTTATGAAAAAACAAGAAAGGGAGGAGAAGAACAAATGTTAGACCTTGTGTCTGCTACAATTCACTGCCTTTAGGAACTAAGTTTTATTCCTACTCAAAGGAAGACTTGCTATTTTTACCAATAACACACACACACACACAATTCTGGCTATTGGGGAGAAAAAATATTATTCATCATTTCTCCTGCTTTTGGCAACAGTTTACAGTACTTGTAAATCTTGGAAAATAAACCAACCAATCCATGAAGCAACCATGCAGTGGCAGAGCTGACTGCTCTATACTGCAAACAGGAGCCAGCTCTCAGAAATTACTGATCTTCTAGAAAAGTTGTGGGATAACTGCAAATTCCAAACGTTAGTGTTAATTCTTGTGCCTATGATACACTGGTAAAAATTTCTGAATTCACCAGAAAAATGCTTCCCTTAGGAGTTTATAAGCTAACTCATTGCCTACAGCAGAAAAAGTCACCTGCAGTAACACCTGCTTTCCAGCATGGCCTGCAGTCCCCTCAAAGATAAAAGGATTGGAAGCATTCACTTTATCAGCTGAAATCATCAGAGGACACCACAGCAACCTCCATGTCCTTTGCAAATCTTTTAGGATCTCAAACATAAGATAAGACAATATTCTGCCCTACAAAAATAAAGAAACCCTTTCCAAAATACCCAGTAAGACTAGAAAATAAAAAATTGTATGTCAGGTAACAATTTTCTTCAAATCAATGAAGAGTTCACTCACATATCTGAGAGCAAAGCTGAGCTCATTTAAAAATTATCCTATATTTCAAACAAATGAAGTGCTATATAAATGATTAATAATATTACTACTGTTCATCATTCCACGGAGAGCTCTCACAGTGAAGTCAAAGGAAATTCTCTGTTACAAATGACAGTAGACTCACACAAGTCTAAGATCACAGGTATGAGAATGACATTAAACAGTATATAACTATTAAAAATATTGTAAGTGAAGTCAGGCATTGTCACAGGATTGAATATTCACATCTGAGCCCTCTACAAAACCTAGATAAGATGGAATTACAAAACTCTAGAAAATCAATGTTTTAATTAATTTTTTAAGGGAAGCTCCTTAGATTTATACCTTTTTATTCAAGTTTTAAATGAACTGTTAAAACTGAAATGCTATTAAATCTGAAAACGGTTTTCCAATCTCCCATATTTCCAGGATATGCTCTAACACGTGTGTGTGCAGCACATTTCAGTCCTGCTCACAGGACATTTTACTATGGATGAGGGATCTGGATTTTCTCCTGATTTGGGGATTCCTACAAACAATCCCTGATTTACTTACGGTACAAGTCCACGCAATTCCATTATTTTGGTGTTCACAGAGTGGCACAAAGGGTGTTTGCAGTGATTCTTCTGGTAACATATGACACACTTATTTTCTGAGGTTTTGTGGAGGGGGAGCAGTTTTGTAAAACTCTTTGTAAACCTGCCTTGTAGCCCAGTTCCTTATCGCTCAAATTCTCCCTGGATGACACCGTGCCACAGCACCAGAGCACCCGGACAGACTCCAGCAGGGTGAGGGTGGAATGGTTTCATGGAGCCTGATGGATTCAGTTTGGATTTCACTGAAGTTTACACAAGCCCCAGACCCCGTTTTAGATACAGCAATGAAGGTAAAACTTCTTATCCTGCCAGAAAAACCACCACGTTTCACACATTCCACACACAGAATCCTGCAGGAGCAAAGTTATTTTGTCTGACATTACTCTGATGGACCCAGGCTGCTCAACCAGCACCACAAAAATGCATCCACATTCCTTGAACTCAGCTCTTCAATTGTACATCAAACACTCCTTCTGCACCTTTGTGAAACTGTCCCTGGGGGTGATTTGGGAGCAGATACAACCCAGCAAAGCACATTTCTCCTGTCATCTATCACAGTTTCTCCAGTGTCTGCCACTGAGTACTTGTGACCATCACACAACAACATGTGACTGTCATATGCACCTATGATTTTATTAACAATAAAGGCATTAGAAATGGCCAAATGTATATGTGACATATACATTCTCAAGGTTCTAGTGACATGAAACACTTAAGGACTCAGCTGGCTGTGCAAAAAAGATGCATTTTTTAAACATTTCCCCTCCAACGTGTAGGAAAGTTTAAAAATTAGTGTTGACAGATTGGCACATAGGACAGATTCAAACTTTAAGCATAAAAATGGGTTGCCTAGTAGCAATTTATATGCCAAATTCATGTGAAACAAACTTTTTCTATCTACAGTACAGTTTTAACAGGTTAATATTTTTATTTTCATCCACATGGGTTTCCTCTGCTGATATTTTCATTCCATTATTAATCTTTCTTCCAATGGCTAACTATACTATATTTAAAAATACAATTTTGAGTAACAGAATATGAATTAAAAGGATAACACTCTATTCCAAGTTGCCTGGATAACAACATTAATAAACAGTAATTATACAATTAGTTGTAACATTAAATTCTAGTTATAGCAGTGTGATTACTCAGCAATTATAAGAAGTATATAATTACTCAATAATTAGGAGAAGTATGTAATTACATCACCATTTGATTCAGCTCAAAAATGAACTTGCAAATTTACAATGAGATAGACAAAACAGCAGCTCAACATTTTTCATTGCTTCTAATAAAAAACCAAGGAGTACTTGCAAGTTTCCTAACCTGAATTTTACAGACAAAAGCTGTTTTTATCCCTCTTCCCAACCAAGCAACTTACTGCTGCTGGCAAGTAAAATGTTAGAAGAATATTTTTAAAATGCAGGTCTTGCTGGGGCTGACTTGCAATTTGCAGCTTTGTCACTTCTCACTGCTTCACCTCAGCTTTCAGTGGGCTGGAAAATGCAGACACAGAGGTTCAACCTGACAGACAATGACACAGTGATAACCCTGTCACATCACTCCATGCCATTCCTGCCCAGCCTGCCTCAGTGGGGACCCAATTGGTGAGGAGAAGTGGACGAGGCCTCTCTTTTTCCATTTTTCATGGGTGTTTTTCTCTCCATCCTGTTCAAGGTCCTACTGTAGCCTACCAGCAGGTCTGCTGTAGATCTAAACAGCAGGTGCCTCAGATACCAGGAAAGTCCTAAAAGACATTGTTTACTTCAGACAAGTGGTTTGTACCAGAGCACCTCCTTGTTCCTGCACTCGGCCTTGTCATTGCTGCCAGGAACAGACACCAGCACTCCAACAAGCAAGGTCTCTGCACAACACAGGAACAACCTAAAGAGGCAGAAAACAAACTTCTAGATCTGCTTCACCATGTCCTTCAACACTTAAGCCATTGCAAACAACTGTGCCAAAAGCTGAATTTGAAGGGGAGGAGGCTCAGAGCCACCATCTCCTGTAAGCTGTTAAAAAAGACTAAACCCTTTGCAGACATGAAGGGTTTCCCAAAGCTCCTTCATCTTTCTATAGTTTTGCATAGTGATGGTTTTGTTCTTTTACTGAGCCTTCCTGCTCAGCTCTCCACAGCTCCCCCAAAGTATCTGAGGGCCTTCTTTCCCTAAGCCTCCTATTTGAGAAGAACCTCAGAAAAACTCTTCCCACTTTATTTGTAGTTTATATCAGATCAAAGGACCTCAGTTTTTTAGGAAAAGATCCAAATGAATAAATTAGGGCTAAAGAATATCCATATTTATACTTAAAAATTACAGTGGGGTGGGGGTGATGCGGTATCTGCTCTTCCTCGTGGTGCAGGGAGAGCGGCTCTGGCAGACAAAGTTCTCCCCAGTCCATGTGCGCCCGGTGACAAATCCCCTGTGCACCCCGTGGGGAAAAGCAAAGTTTCCGTGGCTGTCCCCTCGCACCCCTTCCCGTGACATCACAGCTCCCCTATGACATCACATCTCACCTATGACGTCACATCCATCATATGATATCATATCATCCCTGTAACATCACGTCCTCCCCTCTGACGTCACAACCATCACATGACATCACATCTGTCCTATGACATCACACCTCCCCATGACATCACAGCTCCCCTGTGACATTGCATCCTTCCTATGACATCACATCTCCCCTATGACATCACATCCATTGTATGGCATCATATACCTCCAGTGATATCACATCTCCCCTGTGACATCACATCTCCCCTGTGACATCGCATCCTTCCTGTGACATCACACCTCTCCTGTGATATCATATCATCCCTGTGACACCAGGTGCTCGTCTGTGACATCACACCTGCCCTGTGACATCACATCCTCCCAGTTACATCACAGCTCCCCTATGACATCACATCCTCCCCGTGACATCACATCCTTCCTGTGATATAACATCTCCCCTACCGGGGCGACGCGGTACCTGCTCTTCCTCGTGGTGCAGGAAGAGTGGCTCCGGCAGGCAAAGTTCTCCCGAGTCCATGTGCGCCCGGCGACAAATCCTCCGTGCGCCCCGCGGGGAAAAGCAAAGTCACCGTCGCTGACCCCACACACTGTGACATCCTCCCCTGTGACATCACAGCTCTCCTGGGATATCATATAATCCCTGTGACATCACAGCTACCCTGTGACATCACATCCTTCCTGTGACATCACATCTCCTCTATGACATCGCATCCATCATATGGCATGACATCTCCCCTGTGACATCACTCCTCCCTATGACATCACAGCTCCCCTGTGACATCACAACTGAGGTCACATCCATCATATAACATCACATCCTTCCTGTGATATCACATCTCCCCTATGATGTCACATCCATCATATGACCTCACACTTCTCCTGTGATATGACCTCACACTTCTCCTGTGATATGACATCACACTTCTCCTGTGACATCACATCATTCCTGTGATGTCACATCCTCCCCTGTGACATCACACCTCTCCTGTGACATCACATCCTTTTTGTGACACCAAGGCTCCTCTATGAAATCACATCCATCTTATGACATCACACCTCTCATGTGATATCATATCGTCCCTGTGACGTCATGTCCTTCCCTCTAACATCACATCCTCCCTGTGACACCACAGCTCCCCTACAACTTCACACCTGCCCTGTGACATCACATCCTTCCTGTGACATCACATCCTCCCTGTGACATCACATCTCCCTTGTGGTATGACATCCTTGTTCTGACATCATTACTCCTCTATGGCAACACATCCATCATATGACATCACATCTCCCCTGTGACATCACATCCTTCCTGTGACATCATATATCCCCTATGACATCACATCCATCATGTGACATCACATCTCGCCTGTGATATCATATCATCCCTCTCATATCACACCTGCCCTGTGACATTCCAGCCTTCCTGTGACTTCACATCCTTCCTGTGACAACACATCCTTCCTGTGACATCCTGTCCTCCCCTGTGACATCACACCACCCTGTGACATCACCTCTCCCCTACGATGTCACATCCATCATATGACATCACACCTCTCCTGTGATATCATATCATCCCTGTGACGTCACATCCATCATATGACATCACACCTCTCCTGTGATATCATATCATTCCTCTGACATCACACCTGCCCCGTGATATCACATCCTTCCCGTGATATTATATAATCCCTGTGACATTACGTCCTCCCCTCTGAAATCACATTGTCCCTGTGACATCACAGCTCCCCTTTTACATCACACCTCTCCTGTGACATCACATCCATCCTATGACATCACATCTCCCTGTGACATCACATCCA